ACCACGGATTCCGACCCCTAGCTATACCCATGAGGAAAAAAAAATCGATAAAGCTACATCATTTTACCAAAGCTGTTTACTGCCACGCATCGATGGATAACGGGATCTCGCGATTGGGTTGCGTTTTGATGGAATTTTTCTGTCAAATCTTCGTTTAGATACTAAATCTTTATCTTCTGAGAGGACTCAGTCATGATGGGCCCACATGTGAAAGTGAATAAATAAACTGGATGGTTTTCTGATTACGGAGATCATCTTTCAGGTTTGCTTTAAACATCCACTGAACTTGGCATATAACGTGAACGGGGAATTTAACACAAGAAAAGCAGCATGGGCAACACCAGCGTTGTGCTATATATCAGAGACGTGTAATGAAATTGTAACCACGTCGTAAATTTTGTTCATTGCCAACAGAGCGTTCTATCGATGTTTTGTAAAATATAACGGCAAATGCAATATCTGAATTGAATGTAGAACTCAACCATTGAACTCTGCGCCATCAGATTGGTGCGAAGTGGTTGAAGCTTTAGACCGTTCTGAAACCGAAATTACTTTTGCAAAAGCTTCAAATAGCAAACATCCGTGGGGTGTCGATACTAGACTCTTGTGCAACATCTCGTATAGTCTTTGAAAGACTAGCTTCGATGACTGCTCTTACCTGGTCGTTACCAACTTTCCATAGCGAGCCATCGCGTTCCTCATCTTTCAGGGTTTCGTCTCCCTTATGAAACTTTTACAGAGCAACACTGCGGTGTGCGTTTGCGAGCAGTTCCGCTAGATGGTTGTCGAGGTTATGAGTCGTCTCTACTGCTTTTTCACCCATTTTCGATTCAGATAAGAAAATAGCTTGATTTTGCTTCTTATCTAACATCCGTGCCATAACCTAAAATAAATATAAAATAAGTAGTAAGTTAGACGCCATCACCAAACAAAACATAGAGCCGATATATGCGCATTGAGATGGTGTACAACATGACCATATATAGTTAAGATAATATTCCAATATCAAACAACTAATCCTAGCGAAGCAAACTGCAATTACTTTACACCAACCTAATATATATAAAGGATAAAGGAGAAAGCTCTCGGCGTTAATCAATCCTTGAGGGATGCGCCATGCATTCGGCTTCAATTTTTTTTAACTTCGTTTGAGGTGATTGAATGCACATCTGGCCTTTACAATGACTCGCGGTGGCCTCCCGCTGAACCGAGTCAGTGCTGCTTATCCTGCCAGACAAGTCTGAGACCTGTCTGGTACCAATTTACCGACCCAGGAGGGATGGATGGCTTGGTGAGCCATGAGCGCGAGATCGAACCATTGACCTCGTGTGCGACGCAGAGCACCTCTAACCACTGCGCCACATGCGCTCTTATATATATATTTATATTTATATTATAATATATATATAAAATATATATATTTATATTTTTCTAATATATATATATACATATTTATATTTCCATTTATATATATATATTTATATATATATGCATGTATACGTACGTATGTGTATGTATATATACATATGTGCGTGTATGAGCATTGTTTTTGTTTATTTATTTATTTGTTTATTTGTACGATCCATCATCACAATTTTTATTGTGAGGATCCCAGTACTTTTAGCGTTCGATTCGTCTTTCGTCTTCTTCTTAAAGGACGTAGAATACTGGTCGAGCAAGCCTCCTTGCAATCCCGAAGACAGCCTGGTTGTGGCGTTCCATAAGAGTTGTTGTAGACTGCCGAAGAGAGTTGGGGATAGAGCTAGGCTCCACCGCGCCGTGACGAGCATCAGAACCACTCGGCCACGACGCCCCTGTATACAAATAGTGGGCCATATATATATATATATATATATATATATATATATATATAATATATAATATATATATATATATATATATATATATATATATATATATATATAATGTCCACAGACCTCCCTCTTTGAGGGATCCCGCCCGGTTAGTCGCGAGGGCACGTGGCGCGTCCCCAGGTGGTGGATAGGGGAATAAAACGCGAACCAAAAGCGACCGTGTGCTTCCAGAGACGCAGGTGGATTCAGGGGACGAGCTCCCTGCTTCTGCAGTGCCGACTTGACAAAACTCTATTTCTACGAGTCAAGTCGGCCAAAAGCCTGCAATCAAGCGGCTGGGAAGTACATGGGAGGCGGTTAGGAGTCGCCTCCAACAAATAAGCTCCTCCCGCTCCTTCGAGAGAGACTGGCAAGCTACTCGTGAGTACCCAGCCCCCACGTTTAGAGCCTGGCAAGCTACACGTTGGGTATAAAAAATGCCAAAAAACAGTAACAAATATGGGCCTCATTCCCCTGACCCCGAAAGAGCCCCTGGTACGGCAGCGCCAGGTAGGACGAGTACGGAGAGGCTGCTAAAATCTCAGGGCCGAACTAGGCTGCCAAGATCGAAATGGACTAAAATGACGATCTGTACCTACAATGCAAGAACCCTTGCTCAACAATCCGCTGTAGAAGATCTGGACCTAGAAGAACGTCTGAAGAGCGTCACATAGGGACCCACGGACTAGAATGGAATGAACAGGGTGAGAGGCTATCCGAGTTTATCATGACGACCCAAACCATCCATGGTAACTCGCAATTCCAAAAGCCTCTCTCTCAGCGATGGACGTGGGAGTCTCCCAATGGAGAGTACCATAACGAAATAGATCACATCATAGTAAATCGAAGGTTTTGCCTGACCGACGTCGCTGTTGTTCCCAAGTTCTACACGGGATCAGACCATCGCCTCCTTCGCGGAACGTTCCGATTTTCGAGGAGAGGAGAGAAAGCCGCTAAATTCAAACAACGAAGTCCCAGAACTACCATAAACTGGGATGTATTCAAATCATTAGTCGGCTCTTGGGAAGATACCGTTGTCGACAACATCGACGAAGAATACGATCGACTCGTTGAATATCTTCACGTTGGCGCTAAAAAAGCCGAAAGTCCTAAGGTAACGAAGAGACGCTTGTCTCCGCAGACACTCGAGCTGATACGTCAACGTGGAATCGCACGAGCCGCAGGCAACCGAAACCTTACGTCCGAACTTGCGAAACGATGCAGAGAAGCGATAAAAGAAGACCTTAAAGAGAGAAGAGCAGCAGTTATGGCAGAAGCTGCAGAAGCTGGGAAGAGCATTCGCAAAGCCCAGCGAGGCTTCGCCAACTATAAGACCAAGATGATTGCACTCCGATACCCTGACGGGACACTTACAGCTTCCAGAAGGGCTATGGAGAAAATCATCTACCAGTACTACTCGGATCTCTTCGCTAGCCATGTTCTCTTACCATCATATAAATTGAAAGAGGACGAATATGTCGTTCCACCGGTCCTTCCTTCCGAAATCCGACATGCTATATCGTCGGTGAAATACAGAACAACACCCGGTCCAGACAGGATTAGACCAGAACACCTGAAGAACCTGCCGCCAGTTCTCATCAACACCCTGGCTCGGCTCTTCACTCGCTACCTGTCAGAATGCAAGGTCCCTATTCAAAGGAAAACCAGCAAGACCGTATTGTTGTTCAAAAAGGGAGACCTTCACGACATAGGCAATTATCGCCCAATCTGCTTGCTGTCCGTTGTCTATAAACTCTTTACTCGAGTCATCCTGAACAGGATTGACAGAACACTGGACGAAGGACAGCCATGCGAACAAGCAGGGTTCAGAAAAGGATTTAGTACCATGGACCACATCCACACGATCACAAGACTCATTGAAGTTTCGCGAGAGTACAAACAACCACTCTGTCTCACTTTTATCGATCTGAAGAAAGCCTTTGATTCAGTGGAAACAGAAGCGGTTATAGAGGCTCTGGATAACCAGGGCGTCCCTACTCGGTACATAATGATCCTTCGTGAGCTTTATAAAGATTTCACGGCCAGAATATCTCCATTCTACAACAATATCACCATGACGTAAGAAGAGGGGTTCGACAAGGCGATACAATATCGCCAAAACTATTCACTGCCACCCTACAAAACGTCATGCGAACTTTAGAATGGGACGAAATGGGAGTGAAAATTGACGGTCGACAATTAAACCATCTTCGCTTTGCTGACGATATCGTTCTCATAACACCAAACATCAGCCAAGCGGAACGAATGTTGACTGATTTCGACAACGCCTGTGGAAAGATCGGTCTTCAACTGAATCTAACGAAAACAATGTTCACGAGGAACGGATGGGTTTCTAATGCCCCATTCACGCTCAACGGAACGACAATTTCCGAATGCTCCAGTTACATCTATCTAGGTCGTCAAATCAACATGATGAACGACCTAGCCCCAGAGTTGATTAGGAGGAAACGAGCGGCTTGGGGAACGTTCAAGAGCATCGAAGATGTAGTGAAGAGGGCAAAGAACATCTGACTCCGTGCCCACCTTTTCGACTCGACAATTATCCCTGCCCTAACGTATGCAGCAGAAACCTGGTCGCTACGTAAGCAGGATGAAAGATCACTTGCCGTTATCGAACGCGCAGTCGAAAGGTCGATGCTAGGAGTGTCTCGTATTTCGCAAATGAGACAAAGGATCCGAACTTCCGACCTACGTCAACGATCGAAAATCAGAGACGCCGCTACACTGAAGCGGGGCCGGACACGTGGTGCGCTTCAACGACAACCGATGGACGAGAGCCATTACCGACTGGATTCCTCGGGACGTCAAGCGCTCTAAAGGAAGACCACTGACCCGTTGGTCCGATTTCTTCACGAAAGCGATGGAAGAAAGATATGATGCTCAGCGAATTCCTAGAGCAAGGTGGACCCACTGGGCTACTCTTGCACACGATAGGGAAAAATGGAAGAGCTGCTGGTACCCGCTCGAGTCACTCGACGATCAACGGGAAGACAGGTGATACAGGTGATATATATGTATATATGTATATACATATATATATATATGTATATATGTATATATATACATATGTATATATATGTATATGTATATATTGAAGAAGGCACAGAAAAAGTGGTGGCAAATCAGGCATTGGTAGTGCAACGGTTGAGAACACGCGTCTCCGCACAGAAAGAAATGCGGGTTCAAACCCCGCCTGAGGCAAACGTTTTGCACATCAGTCAACAACATTGGGTATAATTGTGATATTACACCACCGCTATAAAGCAATTAAGTGGAAAGAATTCTTCTCATTACTAATTCAACAGGACAGGTTGCGTACTACTTTCTTGTTTGCTATTCTTCATAGAAGTCCAAACTTCATCCTTTCTGCTCTCATTGAACTCTCCTGCTTTCAGCAACTCTTTCAACGTTCTTGCTTGGCGCTTAGTTCTACCAACACCTGAAGAAACCGCAATGCAATAGAATCCGTCATTAAGTGTTCCGTTAACACAAAATCACCTCGTTTTCTTTTCTTTTCCTCAGATCCAATCCAGAACGAAGTGCATTCCTTCGCTCTTCAGCCAGGCGCACCTTGAAGCGCTCCGATGTAGGCAAATTATTGTCTTTCGCAGTAACACAACAATGACTTTGAAATCATAACTCACTCGTTCTTGAGCGGCATTTACTGCTTGCCGTGCTTCGTCGTATTCAGCTACCGTCTTTTCGAATATATGTGACGCTTTCTGAAAAGTACAAATTTTCTCATGCTTGTAAAAGAGATGAGATAGCGCAGTCGTTAGCCATGTAGTGCATCAAGAAAGATTATAAGGGAAGTGTTGGCTGATTTCCTCCTCCGACATCTTTTGCAATAGAAGAGTATTGAGTGGTAGGCAAGACGTTCGACATCAGTCGGGAGTTGAATCCACGACCCATCCACATCGGGGACGAATGCGATCACTACGTCACCAATCCCATCGTTCCACTGCAACCTTTCTTCGACAAATCCTATCATAGCCAGCAGCAACGAACCTCTAACGGGTTTGGTCTGATATGCTTACATCAGCATTAATCCCAATTATGCTAATAGCATTTCGCAATGAATAAATTGAATGAGATTTCTACTTTGTACTGTTTCTTAGCAGTTCTCAATGGGATAATGTGACAGATACATATCTAAGAGAACTGAGTGATTTGCAAAACATTCAACATCAAACGGGAGTTGAACTCATGATTCGTCCATACTACTCAGTTCCTTTGGATATGTACGAGAAATTAGCGCACGTGAAACACAAGGGTTCTCATTTCGCTGAAGTGTTATAAAAAACAGATGGACAAATATTGCCGTAGACAAAGATTTAGACTTTGGAATTATTGATGATACTCTCCGTGCTATCTAACGAAAAAGTACCGCAGGTTCAGTAGTTATCAGCATGACTGAATTTGATACCGATATGTGCATTCCCGACCAGAACCGGTAAAGGTTGAACGATGACATCTACAACATGACATATCGAAGATACGATATATATCGAAGAAAGAGCGGTAGCAGAGAGGTGACATCAGTGGTGTAGTGATAGCACGCGCCCTGGTATGGGTGAAACGTCGGTTCAGCTCCCGCCTGAGGCTGGAAGTTTTGCATGTCAGTCATCCTGGATGTACAAATATAACATCGTAGAACTTGTGCAAAAGCAATATTTGTAGATTAACTCAGAAATAAACTATATGGCCGAGTAATTACAGTTGAGCAAAACAAAAGGTTCTTCATAGCACAGTAACATGGAAGGCCCCGAAGGTATAGAATTAGCTTCTTTTGCTGCGTCTCTGTACCAACATACGACTTAGTAGATAAAGACGCTGCGCTAGCGGAACAGTAAATAAGGAGTGGTTAACAGTAAGAACGAATCTGGTGGAAAATAAAGAAATAAAACATGCCATATTGAAATTCGTAAAATCCGCCAGAAGTGAGAGCAATCTTCGTGTTCTTTTTGGTTGTGGATTTAGAAGATCGCACATGGTGAAGTCACATGATTCGTCTCCGAAGTCGGTAGTGAAACATCGCCTAAAATGACACTAATAATATCATAAAAGACGGCGAACAATAAAACTGTAACCAAATAAAATCACTAGTAAAATAAAGAAAACACCAATATAAGCGGATTGATACTGAGATAGTTGGACGGCCCGTCTTCGAGTACTGTGAGCACTCCTGCACATGAAAATTGCTGGTTTAGCCTTTTTATCCTTAGAGTCCCGAACCAAGCTTAACCGCGACTTCCTCAGTTCGTCACCACATCAGAGCAGTCGCCGGCCGTTGCGAATCAGAAGAAGATCACCTTTCGACTATTAGCCGCCAAGAAAGCGATCATTACCGGTACGGTTTACCCTTAGTTGGGCTTTCCCATATGGAAATGTCGGCTCTTCCCATCTTCAGTGGCCCTAGTGGGGATTGAACCCCCGTTGTACTTCGCAATCTGCGAAACTCAGGAACGCCTTCCAGCTACGATGAGGCGGAGGCGGTAAATCATTTGAGAGGAATTAGAATAAAATAAAGAATAAACAAACACATATATGAAAAACTGAAGAGATCAAGTTAAATTGAACGAGGAAAGACGCTCGATATTCAAACAGAGCAATTACATTGTAGTGAAGAGCAGAGTGAGAGGAATGCTCCTCTGATGTAATTCGGCAGTTTCCGAGTTGCAATTGCAATCGAATGGAAGCTCGGACAGGGATTTTTCCGGAACGCCGAGTATTTGAGTGCAGAAAGCATTGTATATTAGCTGAATACGATCCGCCTAAAAACAATTCTAAATAATTGAAATGGTTTTATGTAATCAACAAAACTGCTATATTCAACCGCTTCAAGGCGGCATGAAGTTATAACTGTATATTCAATGATGCTGAGTCAAAACGTTGAACCTCTGACGGAAATCGAACCCGCATTTCATCTTGTCCGAGGGCGCATGGTAACCAATTGCACTGCTGAGGCTCCGGTTCTGTCATCACTTCTTTTCGCTAACAAGCGCCCTGGAAAGGGCTCAATACGGGCTCGATTTTCGTGTGAGGTTGAAATTTTCCCGATCACACAACACCATTGGATACCTGCTTGGAAACTTGAACGGTCCAGATTCACTAGTAGGCGAGCCTCAGCACAGAGAAGCGGATGCTCCTTTAGCTATCTTGTTCTCTGCAATCGCGAGCAAAGTCAAGCTGGGGCTTCCCCATGTCGTCATCACAGACCAATCATTGGTCCTTGCGGGTCAGAATGAGATTATAACCTCGCGACCTCGAGCTACCGAGACGACGATCATTCCTGGTACGGCTTACTCCTAGGGGGGCTTTCTGGGTGGAAACGTCAAATTCTTCATGGGTGGCCTTGCTGGAGGATTGATCCCTGAGCTGCACTTCGCAGCCCGACAACCACGAACACCCTCTAGCCACGATGAGGAGGCGGTTAATGCAACTGTCAAGACGAGGAGCGAAACTAAAAAAGAGAAGAACTCAGGAATCCTCCAATAAACAAATAAGATCGTTTCAAAAACACAATGATTATGACGTCAAAAAACATCTAGTGACTAGTGCCTGCTTATATCGTCATCACGACATCAAAATCCGTCTTCCAAATTAGATCAGATACATCAGGTCGCTCGATATGTTTTGGCACTAAAGCAAATAAACTCCCAATTCATTAAGCAGAAGTAGTTGCAATTGCATGATTTTAGTATCGTTAAATTGCGCATTTTCTTGCGAACATTTTGCTATACAACATGCCTATACTTGCTTCAAGATGGAGCTGTTTTGGAGACAAATTCTCTAGCTTCTCATGCACGAATGACGCGTAGGGGAAAATGCCAGTGAGGCGGAGCACAAGATTAATGGAGCTTGGGGCGATGGTACGCTTAAACAAAGAACGGTCAGTAAGTAGTTCGCGAAATTCAAAGCTAGAGAGAACAGTCTCGAGGATCGGTCGCTCTAGGGCCGTCCAAGGGAAGCTCTATTAATCTTGCGCGTCGCTTCACTGGCATTTTCCCCTACGCGCCATTCGTCGATGAGTAGCAAGTGAATTTCCTTGCAGAAAAGCAGCTCCATCTCAAAGCAAGTATAAGCAAGTTGTATACCAAAATGTTCGCAAGAAAATGGGCAATCGATCGACACCAAAATTATGTAGTTTTAATTACTTCTAGCTAAGAAATTCGGTGTTTATAGCTCTGACACCGCAAATTATGGATCGACCTGACGAATAGGGAAAAGCGTTACCTTTGGGTGAACCACATCTTCCACATTGATGTCGACATTCAAACATGTCAGAGCATCGACGATCGAACGCGGTCGAGAACTATCGAACACATTCCTGAAAGACTGAAGCACATGGAAATGACGTTTACAACAACACTGCTAAGTGCCTAGCGAGGTGCCAGTTGTTTTAGAATGCGAGCTCAATCATCAGCTTCAAAATTTTGCCGCGCTAGAGGATAAAGGATGAAGCTCTCGACCTTGATCGATCCCTGAGAGATGAGCTATGCATTGGTCCCCATTCGTAGCATCATTCGCAGTGATTTGACGCATACGTGGCCCTCACGATGACTACTGGTGGCCAAACCGTTGTATCTAGTGTTGCTTTCTTCCGGGACAAGTCTGGTACCAGTTCACCGACCCCGGAGGGATAGAAGGCTTGGCGAGCCTTGAGCGCAAGATCGAACCGTTGACCATCGATCGGTCGATCGAGTGTCGATGAGCACCTCTAACCACTGCGCCAAACGTGCTCACTGCCGTTTTATCGAATGGAAACTCGATGACAACACAACCAGTGGCAATTCAAATTTCAATAATACTCATGCTCACAAAATAATGAAAGAAGAAATTAACACCACTTAAAACAGCCCACCGCGAACCGGAAAGCCAAAAGTTTACAACGAGAAATCGAAAAGAAATTTCCCGCGCAGAGTGTGAGCACCGTGATTACGTATTTGGCCATCAACCGTATACACAAAACGATCTTTTACCCTCGTAATGAAGTATTCGTGCAAAGCTTAGGGCCCGAGTGGCGTGGTGGTTAGAGGAGCACTCGACACATAAGTGGTCGCTGGTTCGATCTCTTCCCTCAGTGCTCTCCAAAGCTTTCAATCTCAGGAGTCAACAAATCGGTACCAGACTTGTCTTGTGGGCTAGCCAGTTGACTAGATATATCGGTAGGTCGCCGCGAGTCATTGTGGAATTCTACTTCATCTCATTTATAGAGTCCTATTCTGCTTCAATAACGCTCATTTTCCAATAGAATTTATCCCAATTTTATCTCGAAACCGGTGCAGTTATGAGAGTTATTGATAAAGTCATATTTTCACTGTTCTTTTTCGAGTTTTGAAGAAAACATTTTGTATGAAACCGATTAATTCAAAGGCGGGAGCCTGTAAAAGTGAGGAAGAAACTTCAGCAAACTCTTAACGCTTTGACGAGTGCAGTTGGCACGCAGACGGCGTCGCGCCGTCGTTCGAGCGGCAGTCGCAGGGTCGCAGGCAGGCGGCATCTGCATGTCTGTGCATGCTTGCGTGCCTGCCTACCTGCTTTTCCACGAGACGCAATGCCGCCATCATACTAGCTAACTGAAACCTGACGTCATGCGGCACGATACCAAACGCACCGTATGGTCCTTGAGGGGTTATGCCGACATCCACCTCCAGGAAATTTTGTTATTACGTGGATTTTTGGAGTAGCCATTAAGCAGCAATACGAGGTTTTTGACAGAAGAAAAAATCAGAAGGTGCGCCCATCAACAAAATGAAAAACATGTAGGCTCAAAAGATCGCTTCTTTTCAAACAGATCTCAATACCTCTGAAAGTGCGTGGTCGATATCTAAAAGTGGTCCGATTCTACCTGGATATCATTGTCACAGCTCAGAATATATGAAGATGAAGCGCTTCATCGGAAGAACTGCGGTAACTATAGTATCACAAATGTTAATAACTTGGAAAAAAAGTAAGAAAAAAGGTTGTTTCATAAAAGTCCAGTATTTGAATTGGATTTCTTAGGCGAACAAATATGGCTCCGTCCGCCCTCCGCTACAGCTCGAATATACGCGTAACAAATCAGAATCGAAGCTAGAAAGAATCTTATCATTAAAAAGCTCAACGTTGAAAACGTTCAAGAGACAACCAACATTTTCATTGTATCTTTCGTTTCGAATGTTTTCCTAAGGCCACTGCTCAAATTTCAATATGCCTGATAATCATTATTTGAGCCACGCATGTCAGTGGTCTGTCAATCACGGCTGACTTATACAGCCCGGTACATGTGTTTCGATCTTGCGGTCCCGTCAGTCGGCCAGTTACCTTTTCTCGCCTTTTGCTAATCTCTGTGGGAGCTGCAGTCCCCACACCAAGAGTTTGCGACGACCTCACCGAACATAGAGTGTTGTACACTCGATTGCTCTTGGCTGGTATATTCAATAAATCATATCTTTCGTTTCAAGTGTTTCTTGAGACCACTGCTTGAATTTCAATATATCTGATACTCTTAGTGTGGGAACTGGAGCTCCCACAGAGGTTAGCATAAGACGAGAAAGGGTAACTGCCCGACTGACGAGATCGCAAGATCGAAACACTTGTATCGGGGCTCTATCAGTCAGCCCTGTTTGACAGACCACTGACATGCGTGGCTCAAATTATGATTATCAGGCATTTTCTTTGTATTATACCAATATTCACAGTGTGTGCGTCTTCTCATCATGCAGGTTCCAATACTTCTAACTGTCAATTAATTTTTTCCATCTTCTGCTTTGAACGTCCGTAGAATACTGCTTGTGCGCGCTTCCTTGCAATCTCAAGGATAGCTGGATGTCGCGTTCTATAAGAAGTTCGTTGTTAACAAACGATGAGGGTGGGGGAGGTGCAGATCGGCCCACGCGCGCCACAACGAACAGCAACCACTCGGCCAAGCTGCCCCATGGTAAGTGTTGAATTGATCGAAAGAGTTTATAATCGATTAGAGCAACATCTGAATTGTAGGCGAAAGCGGAAGAACATCGGCGCCGTTCAACTTTCCAAACTTGTCCTTGTCTTCGGCCGTATGCGGTTAGGCATTGTCCTGCTGGAACAAAGCGCGCTTTCGGACTCATCTTGGATAGTTCTTCACTATATTGTTGTAGGCACGATCCAACTGTTGGCAACGAGCTCGGCATTATCGCACAAGTCTTTTCTTCAATGAAAGCGGATCAACGCCCGCATATCATTCTGTTCAACAGGCTCTTTGAAGCTGAAATTAAAGAACTACATATATAGATTCTTTCTGATTAGAAAGGTGCAAATGAAAACCGATCTCATTCGCCGGAAAGGTAATTTCATAGGAGCGTCAGTCTCAGTTCGAAAGCGAAACCTGTGGCTGCAGCCCCACGTCGCCGGTTTTCAAAAAAGCCTTTTTTGACGTTGCTACAGGCGGAAATTTCTTGGCTCTAGACGCACAAATTTCTCGCTAAACAGACCTCTTTCTCTGGGTTATTAGTGGCCATTCGACAGCGTGATCGAATTTTACTCCAACTCTGTGCTTACATCCTAAAAAGACCGTTTCTCTGATAGGTAACAGGTAGGAGGAGTTGAAATACCATCTGCGATGAAAGGCCAGAATGCCAATTCACGTGCGGTTGCGTGGGGAGGCCACTTGAACTGCTGAAATGATACTTCTCTATGTGTTCATATGCCCGAAAAATCGGTGCTCATCGCGTCACCCACTCACACTTGCGGGAATTAGCCAAATTAGCCCTTGGTTGCAGGTGGGAATACAACTTATTTTACCTGCTGCGTTTCAGAGAAACAGTCTTTACAGGATATAAGCACGACGTTGAAATCAAATTTGATTACGCCATTGAATGATTACTAATAGTCCGAAGAAAGAGCTTTGTCCAGCGAGAAATATGCGCATTTGAGACATAGATTTATGTGGAGCTCACAACTTATAAAAGGGTGTTTTGAAAGAACGGCGACATGGAGATGTAGCCTCAAGTCTTAGTATCAAATGGTTACTAACATTTCAATGAAAAGTTCCCTCTCAGCACCGAGGGCGGCCTACCAATTGTCCTCTCCTAATCAGAAAGAATTCATTATATATATATATATATATATATATATATATATATATATATGTGTTGCACACCTGTACATACACATACATTTATATATGATGTCTGTATGTATATATACGTATGCATCCATATGTATGTACATAAATATGAAACTGTCAATAAAAAGCGGCACAAAGATCCTAGAAAAATAAAAATTTCCAAAAAATCCTAGAACCTTGCTCAACTTTATTCCTGCATTCTTGTAAAGTTCAGCTTCTATTTCCTCTGCTCAAGGGCGCATCCAAATCCAAAAAACAATGTGCATTTTGATATTCTGGTTTTGATCCATCTGTATTTGATTCACTGTATCTTTTTTTTCCAAAAACCTTTGTATCAAGCGTCAGTCTTAACATTGCTCTCATCTTGATGCGTTCGTTAGGTGTACAAATATGACTCCAGCGGCTGATTAATTTTTTCTGCAATAATAGTGAAAATGAAATCATGAAATTCTATATTCTGTTTGAAGATGCGTTAATAACGTTACTTATACGTTTTTATGTACAAAATTTTTATATGATTGTTTGTACTTTGAAGATGACGACTTTCAAATCCGAAAACTCATCTGTGAAAAGCTTCACTTCCATGCTCGTTTTGAAGAGAAATGGAGACTTCTTGCATCGCACCGTGACCGGAGACGAAAAGTAGATTCCTAAAAGAATTGAGTGGTGAGCAAAAGCACGGCCTCAGGTGGGAATCGAATCCGCGTTTCATCCTATCAGAGGACGCGTGATCTACCACTACACCACCGAGACGCATTTGAGCCACCACTCATTCTTATACTATTCTGCTCCATCACCCAAATCTAGAAAAGTACATTCATTTTGGCAATCCATACACAAACGATCATGTATAGACCCCTGACAGCAAGCAGAATCGAATGCAAAGCGAAATGTTCACGGAAAGAAAGTTGTGATGGCAATTGGCTGGATCAGAAACCGTCCCCCTACCAAGAGATTTTGAAATGTGGTGAAACGGTTAATGAAGCACTTCATTAACAGGAGATAACAAAATCAAACAGTGAATGGTAAATCAAAGGACTGGCATGGCCGTAAGATACGACGAAGTAATTTTGCTGCATAATAACGCTCGGTCTCATGTTTTAAAAACCGAAAAACTTATCGAAAACGTCTTAGAAGAGCTGAAGTGGAAGGAAAAGGGGGGTGGAGCAGCAGGGTGTCCAGTAGGCTTTATCTTACTCGCCTAGCTCTCCCGACATTGCACCGATAGACTACCGCTTGAAACCACCGAATTCAAATTACAAATCAGCACATTTTAGAAAAGTTTGGTCAAATTTCGCCCACTTTGCATACCAAATTTCCTGCTCGATGGCATTCAAAACTACCAAAAAATTGGGGAAATCTTATTGTTAATCATGAGAGGGATTTCTATTGAGGTGTGTTTAGTCTAAAATACCCAGTTCTCTTAAAAGATTTTAGTCTTGAGAGGAAAGCTACATATATGAGAACACAAGACATTTCCAACGTTTATTGCACATTTTTTTGAAAATCATGTAAATATGTAATTCAACAAATTTTTTGCAATGTACAACGGTCAACGGTAATTTAGCTTTATTCGCAATTTGCCACCGATCAGCAATCTACTGTCATTGCGTAGAATTTGTACTTTTACAATCAACAGTTAGTATTTCCTACTTTTTCAAAAGATCAATTAGTAAGCATCAGATCGTGCTTCTGCGAAACGCTTTTTCGCATGGGGACTTCCTTCCATGTCTCGTCAAATTCTGCTGCAGCGGCATAACGACTGTGATTTGACGCTCTTCTAAGCCACAGCGTCTCACTTTCCTCACCACTTTGAGCGTATATTCGCCTCGTTTTGATCAATTCTAAAACGTTATTTTCAACAATGGCCAAAATGGAGGAAAGGCAAAAGTAGTGAATTACCTCGTCTCTTTACCCTTCTGTTGCATTCTCAAATGTGCATATTCCAGTGCAACATGGTCATCTTCAGGAGAAAAAGATTGAGGGCCGATATGCCCTTTCGGCTCAGCATTAGTGGCAGTGCTATAATCGTGAGATTAGCATAAATAATAACATTTTCGATTCCAGCAATTTGGATTCCTGTTGCGTTTTCTAGGCTTGTATTCAGAGATTTTTATTTCTGTTGTAGAAAACTTCAAGTAGCGAGAAATTCAGGCGACTATCAGAAAAGGCATGTGTATTGATAAATTCAGGATGAAGCCATCATGGCGATGGTGCCTTCTTATCAGAAATAACGGGGTCAGCTCTTTTCTCACTTTGCTGCTTAGTTCGTTGAAGAACGGCTCGTGGATACTTGTGAACAGTAAGGTGGTACTCAAGACTTCCACTACAATAAAGATGTAATGAGAACGGAGGGTTGGAGAAACTCATTCACCTCGGTGTCCCGACCTTGATTTGTACCTCAGCTGGAGGTGGAGTACTCTAAACTGGCAAATCTAAATCGATCCCAGAAGAAAAAACCATTAATGTCTAAGCCTAGACCATACATTTGAGTCCTTGAATAAAACAGAAAAAGATTGCAATTGACCTCACAATTTGAAGAGATGAAAAATTAAGAATCCAGCGTTGACCAATCTCTTAATAATGCGCCATGCATCCGGCTCCATACGTACCATCGTTCAAAGTTACTTATTGCATATCTAACCCTTACAAAGGTTTGCGGTGGCCTAGTAATGTATCAGTCGGTGCTGCTTATCCTTTTATAGAGAAGTCTGACAGTAATTCACCGACCCCGCAGGTATAGAAGGCTTGGTGAGTCTTCGGCGCGGAATCAAAAAATCAAACGCAATTGAGCTACCTCGCGAGTGTCTCAGGGTAACACTAACCATTGCGTCACACATACCCAGAGTTTGAACGATCACTAAGATATCCTGAAATCATTCGAACAAATAAAATTTCGAAAGCAATCAACTAACACTCTGAGCGACAGGATCGTTCAGTTTCCCATACTCCTGCCTTTCCGAACGCACTCGTGCGGGTAGATGTAGCCGCCTCGCCGTGAGCGTGAGCTTTTCGTCTGTAGCTCTTTGACAGCGATTTGTGCCACTAATTCTTTGAGCACATCGCCTACTTTATGAAGTGGAGCCGTGTCATCAGTGACTGACGAGCCAGTCAACTAGAAATTGTATGAACTATAAGTTACTAATTAGCAAAGATTATCTTTCTGTACAAAGCATAGAAGGTAAAACTTACTATCGGAGCCTCTATAGAGATCTCAGATGCACGGTCTTCAATAACCTTCAATGTAGGGTCAAGTATTGGCAGCTTCTTTTCCTTGATTGCCATTTTTTCGGCACTTTCGGCGCCTCGAATTGCCTACGTCTCCCTCGCAAATCTTCCAACGATTTTGTTGGGGAGCAACTACGTTCCTAGAGAAAAGTACGGTTAAAATCACATGATGTGAAATTTTTCAAACTAAATTCAGAACTTGCCCTATGCTCCTGCATCACTTGCTGTCCTTCTGTGCCCGTTAATTCCGGAAGCGATGTGCTCCTCAATCGCTTCCTCAACGATTTCGTCCACTGTTAGAACATCCAAGACGGTCTAGTGTTTTCTAGAAGTGGTATAATGTTACAGATACATATCTAAGAGAGCTAAGTGATATGCAAAACTTTCAACATCAGGCGGGCGTCCAACTCACGTTTCGTCTCTATCACTCAGCTCTTTGAATATGTGTTCACAACATGATATCACTGCTAAAAAAACAGTGGGAATGAAAATTCCAGTCAGATTGTACAATTTAGACTCATTTTCGTTAGGCAACACAGGATAAAGAATTGATCCCTTTTACTGTAGAAGAACATTTCATAAGAGTGTTAATATTCATTCGAAAGCTTAAATCTCTCACTACTGTGCTATGTGGCCGCACTCTGCAAATACCCTTTCATGACGCTGTAAAATTCAAAATAAAATTATGTTTACAACGGGCGCGTAATTTCACCTTTACTTCGCTGAAATCATCAATGCAGATGAACGTGTAGAGGAAATCTTGCAGTATCGGAGTAAGAGATTTAACCTAGAGTTTTCAAAAATCCTAATTGAATGACAAATTTTGCACTTGACATGTCAGCCGCCTCAGCGCCATCAATCGATCGCTGAGTTGAAACTACGGTAAGCCCACTCCCCCGGCCCGTAGATTAGCCAGAAAACACGTGCCCGTGTATGCAGAAAATAAGCAAGCGCTGAAATCTTGAATCTTATGCTTTCGAATGATTACTATTACTCAACAGAAAGAGCTCTGGCCTACGAGAAATATGCGTATGTGAAGTACAAGGATTTTCATTTCGATGAAGTGTTATCAACAAAGATGGCTAAATGTTGGCGTAGCCGAAGATTTAGACTTTCGAATCATTACTGATACTCTTATGGAAAGTTCCTGTTCAACGAAAGGGATCGATTTATCATCCCCTGCTATCTAACGAAAAAGTACCGCAGTTTCAATAGCTATCAGCACTACTGAGTTTGATGCCGATATGTGCATAACCGACCAGAACCGCTAAAGGTTGATTGCTCACATCTACAACATGACATATCGAAGATACGATATATATCGAAGAAGGACTGGTAGCAGAGCGGTGACATCAGTGGTGCAGTGATAGCACGCGAACTGGTATGGGTGAAACGTCGGCTCAACTAAAGCCTGAGGCTGAAAGTTCAGCATGTCACTCCTCTTGGATGTACAAATATAACATCGTAGAACTTGTGCAGAAGCGGTATTTGTAGATTAGCTCAGAAATAAACTATATGGCCGAGTGATTACAGTCGAGCAAATCAAAAGGTTCTTCATAGCACAGTAATATGGAAGGCCCTAAAGAAATAGAATCAGCTTCTTTTGCTGCGTCTCTGTACCAACATACGACTTAGTAGATAAAGATCGCTGCGCTAGGGGAACACTAAACAAGGAGTGGTTAACAGTAAGAACGAATCTGGGGGAAAAAAAGAAAAAACATGTCATATTGAAATTAGTAAAATCTGTCAGAAGTGAGAGCATTCTTCGTGTTCTTTTTGGCTGTGGATTTAGAAGATCGCACATGGTGAAGTCACATGATTCGTCTCCAAAGTCGGTAGTGAAACATCGCCTAAAATGACACTAATAATATCATAAAAGATGGCGAACAATAAATCTATAACCAAAATAAAATCACTAATAAAATAAAGAAAACACCAATATAAGTGGATTAGTACTTGGATAGTTGAACGGTCCGTCTTCAAGAACTGTGAGGTCCCCTGAACATGTAACTGTGCTGGTTTGCCTTTTTGTCCCTGGAGTTTCGATGAAAGCTTAGCCGCGACTTCCTCAGGTCGTCACCACATCAGAGCAGTCGCCGGCCGTTGCGGATCAGAAGAAGATTATCACCTTTCGACTATTAGTCACCAAGAAAGCTATCATTCCCGGTACGGTTTACCCTTAGTTGGGCTTTCCCGCATGGAAATGCTGGCTCATCCCATCTTGAGTTGCCCTACTAGGGGATTGAACCCCCGTTGTACTTCGCAGTCCGCGAAACTCAAGAACGCCTTCCAGCCACGATGAGGCGGTAAATCATTTGAGAGGACTTAGAATAAGATGGAAAAAAACAAACACATATATGAAAACTGAAGAGATCAAGTTAATCTGAATGAAGAAAGACGATCGATATCCAAACAGAGCAATTACATTGTAGTGAAGAGCAGAGTGAGAGGAATGCTCCTCTGATGTAATTCGGCAGTTTCCGAGTTGCAATTGCAATCGAATGGAAGCTCGGACAAGGACCTTT